AAAAGAAACCCCATCTCTGCTAAAAATACAAAAATTAGCCAGGTGTGGTGGCAGGTGCCTATAATCCCACCTACTTGGGAGGCTGAGGCAGGAGAATTGCTTCAACCTGGAAGGCAGAGGTTGCAGTGAGCTAAGGTCGTGCTATTGCACTCCAGCTGGGACAACAAGAGCAACACTCTGTCTCAAAAAAAAAAAAAGTTTATGGGGACAATGCCCCAAAGAAATCAGCAGTTTACAAATGGGTAACTCATTTTACGAAAAGATGAGATGATGTTAAAGACGAAGCCCACAACAGCAGACCATCTACATCAATCTGTGAGGAAAAATTCATCCTATTTGTGCCCTAATTGAAGAGGACTGATGACTGACAGCAGAAACGACATCTCAATTGGTTCAGCTTACATAATTCTCACTGAAATATTAAAGCTGAACAAACTTTCCACTGGATGGGTCCAAAACCCTTGTGTCCAGTCAGCTACCGACACAGCTTTTAATGGAAATTTTAAACAAGTGACAGAAAGATCCTGAAACATTTAAGAAACTGTAACTGATGAAACATGTCTTTAGCAGTATAATCCTGAAGAAAAAGCACAATCAAAGCAATGGCTACCAAGGCAGAAGTGGTCCAGCCAAACAAAAGTGGACCAGGCAAGAGTAAAGGTCATGGTAACAGTTTTTTGGGATGCTTCGGATATTCTACTTGTTGACTTTCTGGAGGGCCAAAGAATAACATCTGCTTACTATGAGAGCGTTTTGAGAAAGTCAACCAAAGCTTTCTCAGAAAAGCAACTAGGAGATTCACTAGAGAGTCCTTGTCCGTTACAACAATGCCGCTGCTCATTCCTCCCATTAAATGAGGGCAATTTCGTCAAAGTTTCAATGGGAAATCATTAGGTATCCATTTTGTGCTTCTGACTTCTGTTTCCTAATCTTAAAAAATCTGCAATGGGTACCCATTTTTCTTCAGTTAATAATGTAAAAAAGACTGCACTGACATGGTTTAATTCCCAGGATGCCCAGTTCTTTAGGGATGGACTAAATGGCTGCTGTCATTGCTTACAAAAGTATCTGGAACTTGACGAAGCTGACGTTGAGAAATGAAGTTTATATTTTTTGTTTTTATCATTTTGTTCATTTTTCCACAAACTTTCTGAAGTCTCCTCATACTATAGGTCTTGGTTTGGACAAATTAGACAATAATTTGGGGTAAACTGGGCCAATTCGAATATGGGTAAGATATAGGGAGATATTAATAAATAAATTTGTTACAGTAATAATGTCATTTTAGCTATGTAAGGAAATGTTCTGTCTTTCAAGAGAAGCATATATATACATACACATATATGTATTTTTTTTTTTTTTTTGAGACAAGTCTCACTCTGTCACCCAGGCTGGAGTACAGTGGTGTGATCTTGGCTCACTGCAACCTCCAACTCCTTGGTTCAAGTGATTCTCCTGTCTCAGCCTCCCAAGTAGCTGGGATTACAGTCACGTGGCCACCATGTCCAGCTAATTTTTGTATTTTTAGTAGAGTTGGGGTTTCACCATGTTGGCCAGGATGGTCTCAATCTCCTGACCTCATGATCTGACCGCCTTGGCCTCCCAAAGTGCTGGGATTACAGGTGTGAGGTACCACACTCAGCCACATATTTATATATTAAGGAGTGGAATGTTAGGATGTCTGTAATTTATTTCACAATATCTCATCTGAAAAAAAAATAAAGTAGATTAAAGAATGATATCCATGGCTGGGTACGGTGGCTCATGCCTATAGCCCCAGCACTTTGGGAGGCCGAAGCAGGCAGATCACCTGAGGTTAGGACTTCAAGACCAGCCTGGCCAACATGGCGAAAGCCTGTCTCTACTGAAACTAAAAAAATTAGCCAAGCTTGGTGGCAGGCACCTGTCATCCCAGCTACTTGGGAGGCTGAGGCAGGGAGAATCACTTGAACTCGGGAGAAGGAGGTTGCAGTGAGCTGAAATCGTGCCATTGCATTCAGCCTGGGCGACAGAGCAAGACTCCATCTCAAAAAAAAAGGATGATACCCATACAATTGACTTGCTGCCAGTTTATGTGAAAGGAAAGCCATGGGTCTTCTACTTGAGTGAAGGTGCATTAATAGGGAGGTATGCCAGAAGGTAGGTCTTAGGCCAGACTGTCTTGGTTAGAATCTCAGTTATACCAATTATTAATCACATAACCTTGAACAACTTACTTAACTTGGTTAAGTGCCATGGTTTCTTATAGATAAAACTACCTTACAAAATAGTTGTAAGGATTAAATGAATTACTAAATGTAAATGCACATGCCATTCAGCTCACAGTAATACTCAATACAAGATAGCTGCTATCACTAGTGGAAAGTAAACACATTCTAGGGTTTTGTTTGTTTGTTTGAGACGGACTCTCGCTGTTGCCTAGGCTGGAGTGCAGTGGTGCAATCTTGGCACACTGCAACCTCTGCCTCTTGGGTTCAAGCAATTCTTCTGCCTCAGCCTCATGAGTAGCTGGGACTACAGGTGCATGCCACCATGTCTGGCTAATTTTTTGTATTTTCAGTAGAGACAGGTTTTCACCATGTTAGCCAGGATGGTCTCGATCTCCTGACCTTGTGATCCACCCACCTCAGCCTCCCAAAGTGATGGGATTATAGGCATGAGCCACCGCACCTGGCCAGTTTTTTAAGATAGGGGCTCACTTTGTCACCCAGGCTGGAGTGCAGTGGCATGATCATGGCTCACTGTAGCTACAACCTCCCAGGGTCAGACAGTCCTCCCAACTCAGCCTCCTGAAAAGTTGGGACTACAGGTACATGCCATCATGCCTGGCTAATTTTTATTTTTTTTTTTGCAGAAATGGGGTCTCATTTTGTTGCCCAGGCTGGTCTCAAACTCCTGGGCTCAAGTGTTCCTCCTACCTCAGCCTTTCAAAGTGTTGGGATTATAGATGTGCACCAATGTACCCGGTCCTGAATTCTGGTTTTAACCATTTATAGTCCTTTATCCTCTGAGGCAGTAACTAAACTTTAGTCTTGTGTTAACAAAGCCATCTGTCCTATAAAGAAGTTCAATAGTAAGGTGATTCTTTAAATGTACATTTCATTATTGCAAGCTAAGAATAATGATATGGTTAATAAGACACAAAAACCAAAATGCTTTTTCATTTGTCTTTCAATTCACCAAAGGCCTTTCCTGCTCTTCTATCACCTCTGGCTTTGACCTTAAACTGGTAAACAGAAGACTGAAAGATCACCAGAACAGTTAGCCATCAAAGGCAGTAACTGGGTGCATCCATGCTTCATGGTGCATCCATGCTTCATGATCAACAGGAGCTCTTCTCTTACTCACCTGGTGCTATGCTGCATTGAAACCAGTGTTCCATGATTAATCAAGCCTGATAGTCCAATGAGGAATTACGAAGATTTACAGCATGGGAAAAGCCTACACCTACTAGTGGCATCCGGCAAATCAATCTCTTTGAGCCTTATCTATACCCTATTATTATGGATCCTACAATGGAAGAAGATGACTATGAGGATAAGGCTTAGTTGATGCAGTATATATTAAACCTACAGGCCTGAGCCCAGTACAATCTTCTTTTCATCTTTCCATAGTATTAGTGATGGTTATACATACCATCAACAGAAAATAAAACTGAGGATAGAAGGAAAAAATCCATATTGGGAAACAAAGGAAATTTTAAATTCTATAAAAGATACAAGCATGAATAGAAAATACAAAGGAAAAAAAGACAAAAAAAAAAGATACAAGTATGATCTTACTCTCAACCTTCATAAGAGTTGTCATTCAGAAAAGGCTAAGAACTAAAAAAAGGATGTAAAAGAACAGAACAATGTGACTGGGCTGTGAATTCTACACAAAGTTAGCACTAAGTAAACATCTGCTACAAAACAGTTATCAATAAAGTCTGTTTCTAATTTAAAACAATTCTACCTTACAGCAGAACAATACAAGGTGAAGTCTTACATACCTTCAGCATTTATACTAAGTTCTGTTGAATTTCCTTCTGCAGTCGCATATGGATTGTTTCCAACCATTGGCACAAGACAATCGGTATAGAAGTAACCAATCTTAGACATATTCAATGTAGAAATAATCAGATCCATTGCAAGCTGGCCAACATTTCCAACAGATACTGCTGGCTGAAATTATAAAAGGTATGTTCAGTAAGTCACCAAAATTAGCAGCACTTATTTTATTTTTTGAGCGGAGTCTCCCTCTGTCTCCCAGGCTGGAGTGCAGTGACATGATCTCAGCTCACTGCAACCTCCGCCTCCTGGGTTCAAGCAATTCTCCTGCCTCAGCCTCCTGAGCAGCTGTGATTACAGGTGTGCACCACCACACCCACCTAATCTTTGTATTTTTCGTAGAGACAGGGCTTCACCATGTTGACCAGGCTGGTCTTGAACTCCTGACCTCAAGTGATGCACCCGCCTTGGCCTCCCAAAGGGCTGGGATTATAGGCCAGCAGCACTTTAAAAAGTTTAGACGGAAGACAATAGTCATAGTACTAGTACTGAAAGCATCACAGCATCAAAGCTAGATATTGATTTTCATTAACTACAACTGCTGGGGCCTCCTCCACCTTCGAGACTATTGATTTAACAAATACTTATTGGACGCCTACTATATGTCAATTGTTGCTCTAGGCAATGAGAATGCAGTAAAATAAACCAACCAAAGTTCATGCCCTCATGGAACTTCCATTTGAGTGAGAGAGTGATTTACTGGTGATAAGCAAACAGTAAAATATACAGTGGTAAGGGCTACAGAGAAAAATAAAGTGAGTTTAAGGATGTGTGTACACGGTTGATTGCAATTTTAAGAATAATGATTGAGGAAAGACTCACCCCAGGTGACAAATGACTAGAGACCTGAAAAAGGTAAAGGATAGAGACACACAGAGATCTGGGAAAGAACATTCCAGGCAGTGGGAAAGCAAGTATAAAGGTTATGAGGTATGAACAGAAGCACTCTTGGGTCTTCTTACCATTTGCTTTATTAGTGTCTCTTTACCCATTCTCAAAGGTTGAAGTGACTTTTTCACACTAAACACACACGCACTCTCTCTTTTTCCCATGACTTAAAATAACGAAGCTGCCAAATCCCTACCTACATCGCAGAAGACGTAGGAGCTCCACAACCTAATGGATGTCTCCACATGATTAGGTCATAGGCAATTCACATTCTACATGTCCAAAACTATAAACTTTTGCCCTAACTTGTCCCCATATTTTGCATTTTAGAAAAGAGCAATATTATTCACTCTACCTAAACTTCTTCCCATTCCCTTACCAATTAGATCTAGTATATGACTAATTTTTATTGAGACTATCTCCAAAGTATCCTTTTAATGTAGTTCCTCCTTTGCATTCTTCCAACAATTCCTTTTGTTTTTTGTTCTTCAGGGTGTTTCCTCTGAGTGTTCTCCCACTTCTCATTGTTGTCACCTACCAATTGCCTAGTTACCGCCTGTAATTCCCTTCTCAACAATTTTGTTACTTGAGTTAAACTATTCTGCACTTTCTTTTCCTAATTATTGTATTATTCTCATCAGCACGTAAACATGCTCTAATATATTTCATTCTAAAAGACTCTCCCTTGACCCCACATAGCCCTCTAGCTGCAACCTCATTTCTTCTGTCTCTACATAGCAAAAATTCTCCAAGTTGTCCACAATAACATAAGCAGAAACTTTATCTCTTATTCAAAATAATTTTATTTTGAGACAGGGTCTCACTCTGTCACCCAGGCTGGAGTGCAGTGGCATAATTTCAGATCACTGCAACCTCTGCCTCCTGGGCTCAAGTGATCCTCCCGCCTCAGCTTCCTGAGTAGCTGAGATAGAGATGCATGCCACCACAACTGGCTAATTTTTTTTTTTTTGTAGAGATGAGGTATTACTATGTTGCCAAGGCTGCTCTTGAACTCCTTCCAAAGTGCTGGGATTACAGGCTTAAGCCATCATGCTTGTCTTTGAATTAATGACTGAACATATATTATACAAACAAAATCTTACTTATTTCTACCATTCATTCAACGCACTCCAATATGGTTTCCCTCTTTGCCACTTCACTGGTAACTGTTTGCCCAGGTGACCACCATTAACCTACATGTCGCTAAATCTAAACAGACACTTTCCTCACCTTACACATCTCTGGACTACTTTTGACACGGCCACTCCCTCCTTTTTTTTTTTNTTTTTTTTTAAGATGGGGCATTGCTCTGTCGCCCAAGCTGGAGTGCAGTGGTGGGATCTCGGCTCACTGCAATCTCCGCCTCCCTGTTCAAGGAATTCTTCTGCTTCAGCCTCCCAAGTAGCTGAGATTACAGGCGTGCCCCACCATGCCCGGCTAAGTGAGTGAGTGAGTGAGTGAGTGTGTGTGTGTATCTATATCTATATATTTTTTTAGTAGGACGGGGTTTCACCATGCTGGCCAGGCTGGTCTGAAACTTCTGACCTCATGATCTGCCCACCTCGGCCTCCCAAAGTGCTGGGATTACAGTTGTGAGCCACTGCACCCGGCCTGTGTGTTTTATATGCAGTGAGTAACAATGACAGTTCCAGCTCTCTCCAGCCTTATACCACTCCAAACAGTGCATTTTCCAATGGTGCCTTCTGGGTTCACAGGGCCTACAGCTCATTCTCTTTCAATGTGTTATTCCAAATTCTTTGTAGTCTCCAAGTTCCCCATGCTTACGTGATTGTTTTGTACATCCATCTTTCTGAAATGCCTACTTTCCCCTACTCCCAACCCACAGCCCCTCCATCTTCTACATACCGCTTTCTCTATGAGCCTTTCTTAACAAGCTCTCTGTCCCTCCCCTCCCAATTATCTCAGGGCCTTTCTATATCGTTTTCAAATGTCTATCCTAGCATTTATTGCTCTTACTGATCACATGTGTTTCCAACTACATTATAAATTCCTTGAGGGCACGCAGCTAGTCTTATTCTAATACTCGCACCTAATAGACTTTATTAAAATAACAAATGAATATGAAGGGCGATAAAACTGTGCTAACTACCAGCAAGAGTTACGTTTATTACCCCATCAGTAGTTCTCCGATTAACCTTAACATGCTAGCTTAAGACTGATTCTAAAACGAGACGCAGAAAGACTTCCTAGGATAAAACTGAAGGATGGCCTGCATAACCTAAGTACAGTGTATCTAGAATGTACGGACACATCACGTTTTAGAGGCAACAGAGACTACAAATTGTAGACTTGATTACGTTTGCAAGAGCCGACAAAGGCTCTATTTGGACGTTTGCCTCCGGCTATAACCTTCCTGTTTTCTTCGGCGGAGAACCTAAAATAGAAACAAGTGTCCTGTTTCTCCCAAGGCCCCACCAAACCCCCCGGTCCGGGTGGCGACACCGCAGGGGCCTTGCGAGGCAGCAGCCCCGAGCGCAAGCGGAGACTCACCATCAGGAGGGTGAAGCCGGCAAGGTCGGGGGCCGACTCCCCGCAGGGAACAAACATGGTCGCAGTGGGGTGGGCAGCAGGGGCTGAGCGAGGCCCTGGAAAGAACCAGGACAGCAAGAAGGCGGAAGCCGGAGTCCCTGGAGCCCACCGGGGCGCGGGCGGGTCCTTCGAGTCCCTGTGCCGGGCCCTGAGGGCCCGTCCAGCTACCTGCCGGTTCAGAGGGCGGAAAGAGGCCGTCGGGGACCCTCGAAAGGGGCGAACAGTGCTTTCGGATATCCTGGCAAGGCAGGCGATGGGGTGCGTTGAGGTCTTGGGGTGTGGGCCCTGCGGGGAGGTGGACTGGTGGGCGGAAACGATCAGGCAGCGCGCGGGCCAGCCCCGAGCCCCGTTTATCCGCCGCTGTTTGAAAACAGTTGGCGCCGCCGCCGCCGGGGCTTCTGTTCCAGGTCAGCTCCCGGCCTGACGCAGCGTCGCGTCCCCCGGGAGCTGCGTGAGGCGAACGGCTGCGGCGCTTTGTGCTCCAGTCGCTCCTAACGTTCCCTGGCCCGGCCGGGGCCGCGCGGTTAAGGCGTCTGAGGCGGGCAGACGCCGGCTGCCAGCATGTCGCTGCCTCCGGAGAAAGCCTCCGAGCTGAAGCAGCTCATCCACCAGCAGCTGAGCAAGGTGAGAGCCGCGGGCGCCGGGAGAGACCGCCGGGCCGAGCCAGGACCTCTCCCTCTCGCCCGGCGGCCCCGGACAGACAGCGGCACCTGCTTGCCGGGACTCTAGCGAGGACTGTGGGGTGCGCCGCGCGGGGCGGGCAGAGCTTTGGGTTTGAGGCAGGAGAGCGTCCAAGCCTCGGTGAAAGAGAACGAGCCGAGGAGGTGCTAGCAGGAGTCTGGGGCGACAGAATGTGCGCTCTTGGCGTTATAGGACAGCTGTGAGAATGAAGCGCTTAGCGAGCGACTTCTGGAAGTCGGATCGAATGTATGTTGTGTTTGGAGGTTTATATTCTGCTGTAAGATATCAGGGTTTTTTTTTTTGTTGTTGTTGTTTACGGCTGAAACGTGGATGTCAGTGAAGTTGAACCAGGACCTTCAATCAGCAATTCATGGAAGAGAAATTACTAAAGGATTTGTAATGACAGTATTTGTTAATACGCAGGTGCTCCAGAAGAACCTCCAGTTTCTGAAGCGCTCGACTGAGTGCAAGATGCTGAAGTGATAAAAGCCACCATTTATGGTGCCCTTGTGTGCCAGGCTTTGTGCTAGGTGTCTAGCGTCTTTTACCTAATCCTCACAACACTTTTGCGGGAGGGCACTGCACTAGGTTTTTCCATTCTTATCGGTGACGAAACAGATTCATAAAGAGTAAATAAGTTGGCTCGAGGTTACACATCTAAGTTAAAAGCTGGTAAGATTCCCTTATTAGTATCAGTTAAAAGCATGAGAGTAATAAGATCAAACTTTGATCTGTCTACTCCCAGTCTGTATTCTTTTGATTATACTATACTCCTTCTCAAAAGATTCCTTTTGGTTGCGTGTTATGTGTGGAGAAATGGTGACAAATGTGGCAGATAACCAGTGGAGACTATTTCTAGAATTTGTATTCAAAAATTTCATTCTTTAAAAGCTCACCTTTGTTCTGATTCAATTGCGGTAACAATTGTACATTTACTGTTAGCTGGAGAAGCCTAAAACTTCAGAAGCAATATTTGACTACTTTGTGATGTTATAAATTGTAATATGAGTTTTCTACATAGATGGATGTCCATGGCAGAATAAGAGAAATCCTTGCTGAGACTATACGGGAGGAACTGGCACCTGATCAGCAACATTTATCAACAGAAGATTTGATCAAAGCCCTTAGACGTCGAGGAATTATTGATGATGTGATGAAAGAACTTAATTTTGTTACTGTGAGTAATCTTTTAGGGAAATAAGTGAGAGTATAAGTATACACTAATGCATAACCCTGTTCATACCGTTCCCATGTGGGGCCTTTCCTTTTAGTAAAGCCACTTTAAAGTCATTCTGTTTGGTAGTGTCCTGTTTCAAGTATAGGCTACTCTGTCCTTGAGTATACCAAATAGTTTTGTGTATCAATGAAATTGTGTTACATATCATATTCCTCTCTCTACGGTGACAGAATTTTCTCTTATTTTCTAGGTCTGTAAATTTCGAATATACATACCTTAGTCAAATTAGTTTACCATAACAAAGTTCTTTTTTACCATGATCTGTAATTTTTTTAGATTAAGCTTATTTTTAAAGTAAGCACTCTTTTGGGATTATATTCTCTATGATTATATTATAAATTTCTTTAAGAAAATAATTAACTGCAGAATAGTCTTCAAATCTTTTCATACAAATAGGTCAATAATGGGATGATAGTCTCAGTGCACAATTAGTAAGTAGGCCTTCTTTTGAAAATGAGGCAATAATGAAAACTGTGACCTCAATACCTGGGTAATATAATGTGAAAATTGGATGGACTTCATAATACAATAGGGAATAAGTATTTTAATTCAGTACCTTTTTTTGGTTTTTGAAGTTTATGAACCCATTTGTTATAAAAATTGACTTAATAACAGCTTCCACTGTGTGATGACACTTTTTAAAAATCAGCTCATGGTGGAATTATAAGTCAGCTGTTATATAAGGTTTACAGAAAGTTTAACCTTGTTAAAGACATTAAGGATTTGTTTTTAGCTTTATGTGGGTAGTGTTAGTTGAAGACAGTTTAATTCCTTAGCATTTGATTTCAGGAGGAACCAGTTATATCATCTTTTATGTAGGTTTTTATTTTCATTATTTTAATTAGGCTAGGAAAATAAGGGATTCTTTGAGAGGGCCTTATCCTGTTGTCTTTTGGTTCAGTGCTTAGTCATGTTTATTGACATTTTCTTAACCTATAATTTTTTTCTAATTTGGTATTTTTTCCTGCCTTTGTAGGACAGTGTTGAGCAAGAACTCCCTTCTTCTCCAAAACAACCTATTTGTTTTGATAGACAATCAACATTAAAAAAAAGTATGTATATTTTAACATTCATTTAGTTGTGATTAATAGTAAATATTGATGTTCTGTTGTGTTTGGTGTTTGATAGAAGATATTTCCATTTTTTCCCCCCAAAATAAAATACTTAAAATTTTATTGTTAGTTAGCCAAAAACATAGATTCTGTTTTACATGAGGTATGTCAGAAGAGTTAATGTGTGGTATAGTAGAAGCAAAAACAGAATCACCAGCTTCTTGTGTTTTAATAATATGTTTTATAAAAACTGTATAGCCTTGCTTTTAAATGGTAATATAATTATCTGGCAAATACACTTGCTGAATTGATTATTATACAAGTTTGTGAAAGCGAAGGAATGTTGGATAAGCAGCTAAAAAGCAAAGGTATACTACACGTTGGTTCTGATGCCTTTCCAGCTGGGAGAAAGTAATCTGGATTCAAACTCTGAAAAGAATATCATATTATAGGCTGGGCATGGTGGCTCACACCTGTAAACCCAGCACTTTGGGAGGCTGAGGTGGGCACATCACAAGGTCAAGAGATTGAGATCATCCTGGCCAACATGGTGAAACCCCGTCCCTACTAAAAATACAAAAATTAGCTGGCCTTGGTGGCACACACCTGTAGTCCCAGCTACTTGGGAGGCTGAGGTAGGAGAATCACTTGAACCCGGGAGGCCGAGGTTGCAATGAGCCAAGATCGTGCCAGTGCACTCCAGCCTGGTGACAGAGCCCCATCTCAAAAAAAAAAAAGAGAAAAGAATATCACATGTGTATCTTTTCCCCAGGGTGCAATTGATTCCATTATATACAGTAATAAATTTGTTACTCTTTTGCTTTTTTTTTAGTCTTTGGTTTTGGGTTTATATCTGTCAAGTTTTTATTTCCTAATGTCTTGATCACATTCTTTTTAGTTATTTGGCAGTTTCCTCATGTATATTGCTACACTTTACAGCTAATATTGATCCAACACGGAGGTATCTTTACCTTCAGGTTTTGGGTGGAAAAGCTTTCTTGGAACATCTGCAAGAACCTGAACCTTTACCTGGACAAGTTTGTTCAACATTTACTTTATGTTTACATTATCGAAACCAACGTTTTCGTTCTAAACCTGTTCCATGTGCCTGTGAACCAGATTTTCATGATGGCTTTTTGCTTGAAGTACACAGAGAAAGCTTGGGTAAGAAATAGTAATAAATTGTCACTTAATTGAGTAAATCTTTGTTACCTTTTATTGTGAAACAACACTAATGACTTATTCTGTAAGGAGAGGTTTATAATGAAGGAATCTCTAGTCTTTTGTATCCCGCTGCTCTTTTTAATTTAAACCACTTCTATCCACCTTCTTGCGATATTCTGTTTGCTGTTCATTTTTCCTGGAGATTATTTTTTGGTTGTTTTAATTTTTGATTCTTCAGTAATAAACACTTAAATACCTATTATGTTCATAGTGTTATGCTTGGCAGGTGCTGGAATAACAGAGTGGAAAATGAGCCATGATCTTTGTCATTTATAAAACATAACCAGATTGATGATGTTATATAACTTTTAAAAGTCCAATTTGGCCAGGCGCGGTGGTTCACGCCTGTAATTCCAGCGTTTTGGGAGGCTGAGGCAAGCGGATCATGAGGTTAGGAGGTTAGGAGAGTGAGACCATCCTGGCTAATACAGTGAAACTCTATCTCTACTAAAAATACAAAAAAAATTAGCCGTGTGTGATGGTGTGCACCCGTAGTCCCAGCTATTTGGGAGGCTGAGGCAGGAGAATCACTTGAACCCAGGAGGCGGAGGTTGCTGTGAGCTAAGAGCATGCACTGCACTCCAGCCTGGGTGACAGCAAGACTTTTTTTTTTTTTTTAAAGTCAAAGTTTAGGCTGGGCATGGTGACTCGCAGCTGAAATCCCAACACTTTTGGAGGCCTAGGAGAGAGGATCATTTGAAGCCAGGAGTTCAAAACCAGTCTGGGCAAAGTAAGACACTGTCTCTACAAAAAATGAAAAATAGGCTGGGTATGGTGGCTCATGCCTGTAATCCCAGCACTTTGGGAGGCCGAGGCAGGTGTATCAGGAGTTCAAGACCAGCCTGGCCAACATCATGAAACCCTGTCTCTGCTAGAAATATAAAAACTAGCCAGGCGTGGTGGTGGGCACCTGTAATCCCAGATACTTAGGAGTCTGAGGCAGAATTGCTTGAACCCAGAAGGCACAGGTTGCAGTGAGCTGAGATCATACCATTGCACTCCAGCCTGGGCAACAGAGTGAGACTCCGTCTCAAGTAAATAAATAAATAAAAATAAAAAATAGCCTGGTGCAGTGACGTGTGCCTGTAGTCCCAGCCGCTTGGGAGGCTGAGGTGGGAGGATCACTTGAGCCAGGTGTTCAAGGCTGCAGTGAGCTACGATTGCACACAGCACACCAGCCTGGGTGACAGGAACAAGACCTTGTCTCTTAAACAAACAAAAAAATAAGTCAAAATTTAAATGTGAATGTATAACTCTCATTTTGGTTTTTTCTCCCCCTCTTTTTTTCTCTTATTTCACCAATAAGGCATATAATTCTCATAACTAAATTTTACGCTTCTTGATTCCTGTAATTGTTTTACACTATGGTTCTTTCAGTAAGGGGGTTTTGTACATTTTAGTTGTCAATATAGAAATCTTTATATATGTAAGCTAAGCAAAGTTTTGGAATATGCCTTCAGAATTTTAGATTTAACGATGAGTGAAACATTACTAAAATTTATTTATTTTTTCTCTTTGGAAGATGTTACTCTAATAAGGCATTTAATAGGATAAATTGCTAGATTCAATATGCTTTATTTTTCAGTTGTATGTCAGTTATACAGTGATAATTTCTGGAGGTTAAGGGGATTTCTGGAGATAGTTTGGGGATTAATGTTGACATAGTTGAAGGTTCTTTTTGTAGTGGCATATATTTTAGTTAAGTACTTTTAAAGAACAGATTTGTCTTGTGGATCAGAAAGCATTGGTACTAGATAACTCATCATAATTTGCCAGTCTTCTCAAAAATTAGTGATAGAAATTGGACTGTGCTTTTATTTCCAGTTTTTTCCATGCTTTCTGAAACATTACCAAATTGTTCTATTTGGTTTTATATAAGCTTGTTATTTCGTATACTCTTTAATAAAAGTATTCTTTTATATTGTCCTAACTGAATATGTAGTGTAGTATAATTTTATTTGGATTATATTGTTAGGTGATGGAACTAGAATGGCTGATTCAACAACAATGCTATCAATAAGTGATCCAATTCATATGGTGCTGATCAAAACAGACATATTTGGTGAGACAACTTTAGTAGCATCCTATTTTCTGGAATGGCGATCAGTTTTGGGTTCAGAAAATGGAGTGACCAGTCTGACTGTGGAACTTATGGGTGTAGGTATGATGATTACTATATCATTGTTAACCTTTTTATAGCCACAGTTTGTTTGGCAATATATTTTCTGTCCTTAAAATGCTTTTAATCCAAGAGGGAGACCTGTAAAATAGAATTTCATTAGAGTTACAATTGGACTCCAGCATCCTAGTCTTGAGAAATGTCTTAAAGACAGTGTAGCACTTCACAATCTAACCTTGCCTTAGGAGAAATGTTTTTTCTGGAAAATGAATATAGGAATTTTGAGGGTTTTAATTTTTTTCAAGTTCATTTGATTAAATATGGGCTATAAAGAAAATTAATATTCTTGACACACATACAAACTTAGGTGTGTCCAGCCAGCACACCCTGGAATACATCCGCTTTAGTACCAGTGATTTTTGCAAAATATGGAGTAGGTGTTCTCTCAACCTTTTACAGTGGGTGAGTGAGACCTAGAAGAGGTAATAATTTGCTCAGTGTCAGTATCAAGTACTCCTTGAGGGCAGAGATGGTGCCTATCTTAATTGCCATAGTCTTCTTGGAATCTTGCACACTGCCTGCTATATAACACATATTTGCTAATAATATGAAAAAAACAGGAATGAGCCACTACGCCCAGCCTTTCTAACATGTTTTTGTTTTATCTATAACATATAATGGAATTGCTTTGGTTTTGAAACTTAGTCACAGAGTTAAACTTTGTTACTGGACAGCATTGCCTTAGTAATTTAGATTTTAATAAGTCATACCAAGAATGTATTTTTCTTTAAATAAAAATTATAGAAAAAGTGTTCTTTATGTAGGAAATTTATTTTCAAAAACAATACCCAATTACTTATCTTCAAAAATAGCCTAACATGATAGTATAGCAGTGACCTGGAAACAAGCATATTTTAAGGAAACATTAAATAGTTCTGATGTGATGTATATTTGTTTTCTAATTTAAATACAGGCATGTTTTGAAAATTTCTACTCAGCCTGTGATTTGATAATGGGGAGTGAAAAATGGGAGTTACTATAAGTGGCAATATAAATGCTTTCTAATTTTTTGTGTGTGTGGAGACAGAATGAGGTGTTAACAGTTGCTTTGACTTTGGACTTTGAATTTACTGTAAGTCTGGTTGACATTTTACATTTAATGAAGATAGGAATCTGAAATCCTTTAGGTCAGAAAAGTTTCTTAAAACGTGTTAGAAAGGCCGGGCGTAGTGGCTCATTCCTGTAATCCCAGCAAGCACTTTGGAAAGCTGAGGTGGGAATATCACTTGAGTCCAAGAGTTCAAGACCAGCCTGAGCAACGTAGGGAGACCCCATCTCTACTTAAAGAAGAAAAAACGTATTAGAAAGCTAAGAAAATAGTTAATCTCCTTATAATTAAAAAATTAAAAATTTTAAAAAAATTAAAAAGATTAATTTTTAATCTTTCTTTAAAAAATTTTTTTGATTTGGTTCATTTTTAATATGAATATTAAAGGTAATGTCGATTGTTATCTTTATTTCATGTAAGTGATAAAACACCAAGTGCCTAAATTATTTTGGTTAGACTTTGGTTGGCTAAATATATATAGTATTGAAATCTCTGAAGTTCTAAATATTTATGTTTATAGGCACAGAATCAAAAGTTTCGGTGGGAATTTTAAATATAAAACTTGAAATGTATCCACCACTCAATCAAACGTTATCTCAAGAAGTAGTGAACACACAGGTAAATAATAACGAGTTTCTCTTTTATTGTGTGTTTGTTTTCATAGAAGTGTATTTACCTGTTGATCCTAGAAAGCACTCTTATCTTTAGAAAATTATTTATTACTTTCTAGATTAGCACTCAAAGTTTTACGGAAAGGATGAGAAAGAAAATAAAGACAAGTTTGTTTTCCTGGGAGAATCTGTAGTCTAGTTTCGGAAAGACGATGAAAATTTATTGAGACAACATGATAATTACATGATAAAGCTGAAGAGGATAAAGGAATAAAGTGCAACCTCAGTGGGTTGGGATTTTAACGTTTTTTCATAGATGTTTATTGTTGAAAGCTTGCTGCTTATGTCTTTTCTGCTTGGTCCTCTCAGGGTAGAAGTGCTTGCCACTTTTATTTTTCTTTTGAGATGGAGTTTTGCTTTTGTGGCCCAGGCTGGAGTGCAGCGGCGTGATCTCAGCTCACCGCAACCGCCGCCTCCTGGGTTCAAGCTATTCTCCTGCCTCAGCCTCCCAAGTGGCTGGGATTACAGGCATGCACCACCATGCCTGGCTAATTTTGTATTTTTAGTAGTGATGAGATTTCTCCATGTTGGTCAGGCTGGTCTCGAACTCCCGACTTCAGGTGATCCACCTGCCTCAGCCTCCCAAAGTGCCGAGATTACAGGTGTGAACCACCTCGCCTGGCCCAACTTGCCACTTCTAGAGTGTGTTTGGAGAGGCTTTTTTTTCCCCCTCATTCCACTGTCAGGTCTCTGACGAAATTACTTTCTTCATGGGTCTTGTAAGATTGGCAAGTTTTTTCATTCCTTCACATTGGATTTGTTATCCCTGTTTAGTTCTTGCCAATCTTTAGTTTGGAGGTTCTGATTATCTGCTGACTTGCTGGGATGGCACCTATGGAATGGTTCTTCTTGATTACATATACCACCCTTTACTCTACCCTGCCTATCATATTGTTCCTTTTACAGACCCGTGGTTAGAAGCTAGTGCTTCTCCCTCAGGCAGTGTCCTGCCCTATTTTCTTTAAACTTCTTTTTCCTTCCTTTTGTAAACTCTGATCTCCTTCTAATCTCTAGCATCTGAGATGTGTCATGGGTGATATATATATACCTGAAAACACATAGTGGGAACCAACCTTGATGTTACTCAAATAAATACCCAGCCCTATGGGAGGCCAAGGTGGAAGGATCACTTTTGAGACCAAGCAGTTCAGGATCAGCTTGGACAACATAATGAGACCCTGTCTCTACAAAAATTTTTAAAAATCAGTCGAGCATTGGTGGTACATGCCTGTAGTCCCAGCTGCTTGGGAAGCTGAAATGGGAGGATTGCTTGACCCAGGAATTCGAGGTTACAGTGAGCCGTGATTGTACGATTGTACTCCAACCTGTCTGTTAAATAAAAGGTGTAAATACACGTTTACATATGTGTATACGTGAGTTTTAATCATATTGTATTTATGTGACATATAAAGTAGATGTTTGGGCTCTACTTTTTTGGGGTAGTAAGTTGGCTTTTTTAAAAAATTAAATTATACTTTTTTAGAGACAGCATCTCACTCTGACTCCCAGGCTTGAGTGAAGTGGTGTGATTATAGCTCACTGAAACCTCAAATACCTGGCCTCAAGCAAGCCTCCTGTCTCAGCCTCACAAAACATTGGGGTTACAGACATGGACCACTGTGCCCAGCCAGGTTCTACTTTTTAAACTTAACACTATTTTATATATATTTTTTCATATTTCCACTGTCATATTTATAATTTCTAGTGACTAAAAGATAAGTTTATTCTATTTCTGATAAATTGCTTCTAATTTTCTCTTTAAAGTTGCACTGTTATTAAAAATTTTAGCCAGACATGGTGGCTTCTGTCTGTAATCCCAGCACTTTGAGAGGCCAAGGAAAGAAGACCACTTCAGGCCAGGAGTTCAAGACCAGCGTGGGCAACATAGCGAGACTTCATCTCTACAAAGAAATTTTAAAAATTAACTGGGCATGGTGGTGCATCCCTGTGGTCCCAGCTACTGGGGAGGCTAAGGCGGGAGGATCACTTGAGCCCAGGAATTTGAGGCTGCATTGAGCCATGATCACGTAACTGCACTCCAGACTAGGTGACAGAGCAAGAACCTGTCTCTTAAAAGAAATTAAAGTCAGAAATATGTATGGATCCTAAACAGGTGTTAAAATGTGCTAGACTTTGTTCCAGACACTGGAGATATATCTGTATACAGGGCAGCAGACAGCTAGATAGCTTGCTCTCAAGGAGTTTAGATTCTGGTGCAGGAGAAACAATAAGTCAGCAAACAAAATAATCAGATAGTAGAAGGTGTTTATGCAGAATTATTACAGGTGATATGATAGAGTGGTTATTGGGTAGCTGATTCTAGGTTGAGTAACTAGGTTAGGGAAAGGTCTAAACGGCAGGAAGTAGCCAGCCATGCAGAGATTGGGGCTGAGCTTTCAGCACTGGGAACATCCTGGAACAAAAACCCCTATGCAGGAACAAAAGCCCTGTGTGGCTAAACTGTAGTGGGTTGGGGAGAGAGGAGAAAATGAGATAGTCTGGCCAGAGTTCGTAGGCCAGGGCAGGTAGTTTGCAATGTGATGGAGAGTGAAGTGTTTTAAACAAGAGAATGACAGTACGATTTTTTTTTTTTTTTGAGACAGAGTTTTACTCCATCACCCAGGGTGGAGTGCAGTGGCACAATCTCAGCTCACTGCAACCTCTGCCTCCCAGCTTCAAGCGATTCTCTTGCCTCAGCCTCCCAAGTAGTTGGGATTATAGGCATGTACTACTATGCCCAGCTAGTTTTTCTATTTTAGTTGAGATGGGGTTTCACCATGTTGGCCAGGCTGGTCTCGAACTCCTGACCTCAAATGATCCATCTGCCTTGGCCTCCCAAAGTGCTGGGATTACAGGCATGGGCCACCACGCCTAGCGTGTATGATTTATTATTTAAAAAATTTCTGTCCTGGGAGTTAAGAAAAGTGACTTACGACTATTGTACGGAGATTGGATTGTACTAGGGGTAAGTATAGAAACAAGGAAGTCAGGAGGCTCTTATAGATGATGATGGCTCAGATTAGGGTTGTGGTAATTATATAGAGAAGTAGATTTGTTACATATTTTGTAGTAATTAAGGATAATTAATAAAAATTGAAATTTTTTTTTTTTTAATTTCAAGCTTGCTTTGGAACGTCAGAAAACTGCAGAGAAAGAGCGATTATTTCTTGTATATGCTAAGCAGTGGTGGAGAGAATATTTGCAGATTCGACCCTCACACAATTCACGACTGGTGAAGATTTTTGCACAGGTATGTAAATTATATTAGAATAGTTTTATGCCTGTATTTGAGATTTACTGTTATGTATGTAAATTTCATTTAATATTTATTTGTAAAATGTATTCCAAAAAATTAAAGTATATTTGTAAAATAAAATGCTGATTTTGTAATATTCTCTCCCACTGCATAGGTGAGTGGCGAAATCAATCTTATTTTACTTTCAATTTCAATTATTGTGGGTTTTTAAAAATCAGCTTTCTCAGGTTGAATCAATTATTGTGTTTTAAACTCTTTCTGAATATATTTGATTTAAAGTAGATGAAAATCCATTTTGTTTAATGTGGAATGAGTATTTGCGTGATGCTTAATGCTAAATAACCATTTGGGCACTTTGCAGTTTATATGCAAATCCAGGTCTTGTGTGCAGAATGGGGACTCTGGACATATGTATATTTTTGTTAGGATTTTAAAAAAAATTCTGTATAACCAAGATCTCTAAGCCAGTGACCAGTAATGTTTAACTGAAGTATTTCAACTATGTATCTTCTGCCTCCATTTTTCCTGAGTCCTAAACCCATTTTCTCTCTTCAACAGACCAACATAAAATATATGATCAGGTTCACATATTTTTGTTGCTTCTAAGGAACAGTTCAAATATTTTGTATATATTCAGCCTCATATAGATGCTTTCATATAAGTATAGTGTAGTATTATTTTAAGTCTCTCGGATCCTGTATTTTCATCTAGCTTTACCCTACTTTGCCTAGATTTTGGAATAGGCTAAAAGTGGTTTAGTTTCCAGTTGGGGAGCTTGGGAATAAGAGATTGGCTAGAGGTGGGAATAACAGAAATGGCTTCTGACTTTCCAATAGCTTTATTTATATATTGACTGACTGGTTGGCAAGGTAGCAACATTATCAGGACAAGGGCAAGGAGAAACCAGTCAAAATGTAACTGGCTTTCTGGCCGGGTGCAGTGGCTCACGCCTATAATCCCATCACTTGGGGAGACTGAGGCAGGTGGATCACCTGAGGTCAGGAGTTCGAGACCAGTTGGCCAACATGGTGAAACCCTGTCTCTATTAAAAATACAAAAATTAGCCAGGCTTGGTGGCAGGCACTTGTAATCCAAGCTACTCAGGAAGGTGAGGCAGGAGAATTGCTTAACTGGGGAGGTGGAGGTTGCAGTGAGCCAAGATCACGCCATTGCACTCCGACCTAGGTGACAGAGTGAAACTCTGTTTCAAAACAACAACAAATATACATATTTATATATATACATAAGCGCACACACACACACCCCAACCCCCAACCCCCACCCACCCACTAACCCACCAACAGCTCCCTGCTCTCTATATAGTCAGGCATTTATTCATTGCCACACATGGAGTCAGGGACCAGAGAGGACTCAGGATGGAGTGAGGTAGTAAATCAGAGAAATGGTAGGATCAAAAAGGAGGAAGAAGTTGAGATGCATTAAGGAAGTCAAAGAAGCGAGATTTTCTTTTAGGAAATATTACTTAAACAAGTTCCTCTTTCTCAGAATTCATTGTGAGATTTAAACCGTAGAAGGTAATTTACTCTCATAGTAACCATATAAGATTATCAGGTGGCCAGGCATTGGCTTTTTGTAAACAGTATGAAGGTTTGAGAAGTGAAGAGTCTTCCAAGGCCAAACAGCAACTCAGTCATGGCAAAGTCTATATTAAATTGCAGTTTCAACTGGTGGCTTTTTGGTTTGTGCCACTTTTTTCCATATACATACAGTAAATAAAATGCTGATTTTAGATTACCCAGAACTGTTTCTTGCTGCTGCTTCCTATATTTGACTAGTTATGAAATTAAAGAATGATAGTTTAAAGTAGTCAATCTAATTATAAAAGCAATAGTTATAAACCAAAACATTAATATACATGGTCTGAAAAAATTTCCAATGTATGCAGGCCCAAAAAGAAATAAGTTAGTGGCAGCACTAAAAGTAAAGAACTTTTTGCAACGATGGAAATGTTCTGTGTCTATGCTAACCAGTATGGTAGCCACAAGCCATGTACTGAGCATTCAAAATGTGGCTATTATGACTAAAAAAAATTGAATTTTAAATTTTATTTAATTTTAATTAAAATTTAAATAGCTCATAATGGTTAGTGATTTTCTTATTGGACAGTGCCTGTTCAGAGGTTGAAATACTAAATTTCCAAAACACTTAAGTAACTTGTGGGGTTATATTTAGAATAATATTAGAATATTGCTGTAATGAAACAATGATACATCTTACATTCTAAAATGCTGCTATTGATGATTGATTTAGGCAAATGTATACAGTTTTGATGTGCTCATCTTTTCTTGCCTATTAGTGAATTTGTAAGTATAGGAGTAACAGACCCACACAGGAACTAAGTTTATTACCTCAATCCTAACCAAAGGTCTAGATTCACTGTGGCCATAATACTTAATAATTCATTATTATTTTTATCCTTTGTTAGCTGGTTTTGCTATAGTATAATAGTAATTCACTGAATGACGCCTTTTGAATTTTTTAGTGCAAGAAACTTTAAGTTACAGAAATTGAACTTTAAGGCTACTAGGTCTTAAGAAAATGTTGTAAATCACTTGAGAATTGAGGATATCCTTTTAATATTTAGTTTGTGATTTCAGGACTTAGTATTCTCATACAACACTAGATTATTAATAATGCTAAATTAATGTAAAAGAAAAACATAGTTCTCTACATCCCCCTTAAATTCAAATAATAATCCTCTGTTTTGAAAAATTGGTGCCTTCTACGCCAGGCATGGTGGCTCACACCTGTAATCCCAGCACTTTGGGAGGTTGAGGTAGGTGGATCACTTGAGGTCAGGAGTTTGAGTACAGCCTGGTCAACACAGCAAAACCCCATCTTTACAAAAATTAGCCAGGTCTGGTGGCTCGCACCTCTAATCCCAGCTACTCAGGAGGCTGAGGCACAAGAATTGCTTGAACCTGAGGGGCGGAGGTTGCAGTGAGCTGAGATTACGCCACTGTACTCCACCCTGGTGATAGAGCAAGTCACCATCTCAAAAAAAAAAAAAAAAAAAAAAAAAAAAATTGCTGCTTTCTAGAGTTGAGAACTATAGGTATGAGTGGAATCTAGAGCCAATTTGCTTTGCAACATAAAAATTCATGATCTTGCCGGGTGTGGTGGCTCACGCCTGTAATCCCAGCATTTTGGGAGGCCGAGGTGGGCGGATCACCTGAGGTCGGGAGTTCGAGACCAGCCTGACCAACATGGAGAAACCCCTGCCTCTACTGAAAATACAAAATTAGCTGAGCATCATGGTGCATGACTAATCCCAGCTACTCGGGAGGCTGAGGCAGGAGAATTGCTTGAACCTGGGAGGCAGAGGTTGCGATAAGCTGAGAGCAAGTCATTGCACTCCAGCCTGGGCAACAAGAGCAAAACTTGGTTTTGAAAAAAAAAATCATCATCTTTTTCACTATGATCAAATGTAAATAGATGAGATTTTTTTTTTCCTTGCTAAAGTATGGGATTATATTGGAAAAAGATGTTTTGGTTGTGGAGAAAGACATCAGTGGTTCTGATAATTCAAACTGATGATGTTTATGTTGGCTAAGTTAGATCTTATGTACTGAGGAGCCCTATCAGAGTAGAGGGTAGGTCATCTCCAAATCTTGAATAGTAAGTGGGCCTTTCACATTACCTTATCAGTAATCATGAAGGTAAAGAGATTGTGGGCTTTTTCTAGAGTGTTTTTTGAAATTTTGCTTTGAGTTGACTTGGTTAATAAATTATTGTTTCCTGTGGATCTCTAAATTTGAGGCCCTAATGGAAACAAACTAGAATCAAGCTAGATCATTTCTGTTATATCAGCCAATCTATATATTGTTAAATTCTATATGGCAGTATGAAAGAATACTTCAGCTTAGAGCACCTCTCCCTCCCCTACATACCTGCCCACCCATTTCTTAGAGGACTTCTTATTGCCACAGCCTTTGGAGTCAAACAGCTCAGGGCTTAAATGTGTCTCTGTTGCATAATAGCTGTAGCTCCTCAGTTTTCTTTATCTGTAAAATGAAAATAATAGAGATGTTATGATGATTAAAGGGAAATTATATACACAGCACTTTGCAGCCTAATACTGGATACAAGGTAAGCACTCAATGGTATGCTGAATTATTTTATCCTGCATTAATGTATTTGAAAAAAATATTATTATTGGGGATGATTAATATGTCATTACGGATGTTTTTTCCCTTTTCCCTAGGATGAAAATGGGATAAATAGACCAGTCTGTTCCTATGTTAAACCACTTCGAGCTGGACGACTTCTTGATACTCCAAGGCAAGCAGCAAGATTTGTTAACGTCCTTGGTTATGAACGAGCCCCTGTTATTGGAGGAGGAGGTAAACAGGAGCAGTGGTGCACTCTGCTGGCCTTTCTCTGTAGAAACAAGGTATTATACACACATAATAGAATTAAATAGCAGTATATCATAGTTACTCTAAATTTATAATACATTTGTAAAAGAATGCCTTAGGAAAATGTACATATAGTGAGCCCTCTGTAACTACGGGTTCTGTATCTGTGGATTCAACCAACTGAAGATCAAAAATATTTATAAAAATGAAAGTAAAAAATAACAATAAAAAATATACAAATAAAAAACAATGAAATATAAAACTATGTAGCATTTACATTGTATTTTTTTTTTTTTTTTTTTTTTTTTTGAGATAGAGTCTCACTTTGTTGTCCAGGCTAGAGTGTAGTGGCATGATCTCGTCTCACTGCAACCTCTGCCACCAGGGTTCAAGAAATTCTCTGCCTCAGCCTCCCAAGTAGCTGGGATTACAGGTGCCTGCTACCACGCCCAGCTACTGTTTGTATTTTTGGTGGAGATGTGGTTTCACCATCTTGGCCAGGCTGGTTTTGAACTCCTGACCTCGTGATCCACCCATCTCAGCCTCCTAAAGTGCTGGGATTACAGGCTTGAGCCACCGTGCCCAGCCTGTATTGAGTGTTTTAAGTAATTTAGAGGTGATTTAAAGTATATAGGAGGATGAGCTTAGGTTATATATAAAATACTATACCATTTTGGCTGGACTTGGTGGCTTATACCTGTAATCTCAGCACTTTGGGAGGCAGAGGGAGGTGGATCACCTGAGGTCAGGAGTTCAGGTCCAGCCTGGGCAACATGGTGAAATCCCATCTCTACTAAAATACAAAAAAATGAGCATGGTGGCGAGCCCCTGTAATCCCAATGACTCAGGAGGCTGAGGCAGGAGAATTGCTTGGACCCGGGAGGCGGAGGTTGCAGTGAGCTGAGATTGTGCCATTGCACCTCCAGCCTGGGGACAGAGTGAGACTCCATCTAAAAAAAAGAAAAAAAATACTATGCCATCTTATATAAGGGCCTTGAGTATCCATGGATTTTGTTTCACAAGGGTCCTAGATACTTTGGATACTGTGAGACAGCTGTGCTGTCAGCTTGACCAAGTCAGAACTTTGTTCTCACTATTTTTCATAACATTTAAATATCAATACCCAAAGAGAAAACTCAGCGTCTTTATTTTCTCATGTAGTTTTTTATTTAACTTTTTGTGATTTCTGTGAGGTGGGGAAAGTGTGAGAAATGAAGTTATAGAATGAATTAGAGATAGCACCAGGACCAGACCATGGCTTTCTGGTACCATTGAAGTGTTAAAGTTTGCTCAGATAATATATTTTTTAAAAAGAGAAAATGACAGTACAAAATGAATGTAGAAAAAAATCTTGAGGCTGGACACGGTGGCTCACGCCTGTAATTCCAGCACTTTGGGAGGCCAAGGTGGGTGGATCACCTGAGGTCGAGAGTTCAAGACCAGCCTGACCAACATGG